GTTGACAGCTAATGTTTTTCAGTAAGTCATGCAACAGCAGAGGAGTTCCTCTTTCCCGTTCCCACAGTACTGTTGAGCCACTGCTGCAAGGGTGACAATGTGTAACAATGGAGGTTGGAACGATAAAATTGAAGTTGACATGAAAAACATGTGACAAAGAAGCCCTACAGCTGAGATACCGATAGCTGAAATATCTGTGAGAAAGTTGTTCAGCACCTGGCTGATACCCAAAGAGAGTTACATTATTCTTTTCATTGGAAGAAGGTTGGAGAACACTCCTTAATAAATTCCAATGGCAGGCCTGTAATAGAGTGGAGCTGATGCAAGTTGGCACGGCTTTAAAATTCACCATATGTTCTAGTTCAGTTAAGATGTATTTCTGTTGCTTTATGCTTTTTGCATCCTTGATCTGCAAGAGTAATAAATAAGGCGTGGTCTCTCGCAGTTACCATTGCAGTGTCAAATGCACTAAACCGTTGCGGCCTGAATACCTGTAGTAAGGTACCTGAATACATGCGATTAGAAATGCAAAGATTGGTCTTGTGGAGCAGTCCAAAATCAAGCAATGCTGCTGACTTTATAGTGAGTTCAACAAGCTTTGTAGCTGGCCAAGAAACATGCAACAAAGTGAAGATTTTTCAACATTAGTTGTGTCTAATGCTATTTACAGCTTTTCTGGATCATCACTTCACCTAAATAAAATGGGAACACAGGCCTGAACACAGAAGTTATGTGTTTATTTTGACCTGGCGAGCTTAATTAACATGGCTATATTTCCTCCTACCTGGAGCTCCTGAAAACTCTTTGTTAAGCATAATGATTACAATAATCCAATTTAGACGTGACAAAAATTACTGTTCTTCTGCCAAAGCATCTACTGAACTGAAGACTGTAATTCCCAAAGTAAGGGTCACAACTGCAAGTCTAAGAGTAGTGTAATTATTCTTGCTAGTATAATGACGCTGATGAAAGTGGGACTCACTGCCAGAAACAAGCTGGGGAGATTTTTATGGGTCTGACTAGACTGTTCTGAGCAGGAGCACTTGTTCTCCAAATCCTGTCCTTTCTCCAGCCCCTGTTTCAGACCTTACAGATGCTTTTTCAAGAGGGCAAGAAAATTAATATTCTAGTTATCTCAGTTTCTGAATCTGCTAAATTTTAGTTCAGATTATTATTTTCTTCAGCTCCTGTGATAAATAGGGGAAGTATTAGAAAAAAAATCTGTAGGTAAAAAAAAAAAAAAAAAAAAAAAGATAAAATTAAGAGAACAAACAAGGGAAGAGTCTTCAGAACATGCACTGCCCATTTTACCCAGTGGTCAGAACATTTTTGTGGTACATAATTAATGCTATTTTTTTTCTGAAGAACTTGGTGTTGAAGTACATTTCTTAGCCTGCTTCCTACCTTCTAGTTCTGGAATCCTTAGTACATTCTTAATTTAAACAATGTTGTTCCCCACTGGATTCTGAACAGTGGGTTAGAGAAATCTTATAAGAATATAAGTTAGAGAAATCTTATAAGAATATATCTTCATAAGAAATGGGCATTTGTTCTCTCTTTTTATCTTTTACTTCTCTGTTCCATGTCATAGAGCACAAGGACAATTGAAATTTACTATTTCAATTTTTAGAAATTAATTCAGTAGTATTGGAGTTCAGGTGTTTCTTTATGCAAAGAGGGATTCAAATTGTCCGTTACAATGCTTGAGATCATGTGGTAAATTATAAATTAAATGGTGCTCCTGGAATGCAGACATCACCTTTGACTGTGACTGCAGGTTCAGTGAGGTCTCTTGTGATGTACATGCAATTAAACCTGTACATTGTCTCTGAATAAAATTAAGAATATCAAAGCAAATTTCAGCACAACATAAGAAAATATTACCCAACTTTTTTTAGACTAAGATTGTCTTAGCAATCTTTGATCATGCACTGGATTCTTAATCACTGTCAACTCACTATACTTTCCTTTTCAGTAAAGAACAGTGATGTTATGCAATGTTACTATGTAAATCATGCCCTGTTTTTTCTAGTCCTATTTTGAGAAAACACATCTGAGTAAAACTTCATTTTTGGTGATGCTAAGTCTTCCCCCAGCAGTTAACATTTTGTCTATATTTATGCGACATGACTTTATGCTTTGTGGTTTTGGCAGATGGAGGAATGATTTTCTTCACATTTTTCATATGGTGAGGAATTTACAGGAGCTAGTTTAGCAATAGCAAACAGAGGAGGCTTTAATTTGTTTACCTAACATATGTGTCACATATAAAAGGCAATGTCCTTCCACTGTAGTTGTTAATAACTAGCTGTTCCAAATGGATTTGTGCCAACACAAAATCCACCACCACAATTAGCAGTAATAGGAACTTCAGCTGGCAGCAGCAGTGAAGGCAGTAAAGATTAAATGGCTGCATGAAATTTCCCTCCAGATTAAAACTGATGTGCACTGGCAAAAAATAAGAAAACTCACACCACTGTTACCCCTTACACTCCGTTCTACTCTGATAACAATTTAAAAAAATACTGCTGTCTGGGACTCACTATTTTTCACATGACATAGATTCACCCCATTAATGACAAGAATCTAAGTATCCATACCAATAAAACATCTCAAATTACAAAAACCTATAGATGACTTTCAGATGCATGAGGATACAAATAACCTTTTGAAGAAGGTTGATTTTGAGAGGCATTTCTCAGTTAGGTGCCTGTTTCTGACTTCTAGATGGTGTTGCACATGTACTTCCAAAAAGTCTGCTTGGGAATTCCACTAGGTGATACCCAAGAAATTATTTTTTTTTTCTATGTAGAAAATCTTCAGGGAACTACAAAATCTCTGCAAAATAGTATTAATGGTAACACTTCTCTAGCATAGAATATGATCTTTGTCTAGAGCAGGTTATTGTCAGAGCTGCAGTAACAACAAACCCTCCCCCTTTTCGTGAGCCGTGGCTGAATTATGCTAATCCCTGTACAAACACATGGATGAAAAAATTAGTATAATGAGGATTTGAATAAGTATTTTATTGTACAATATTAACCGATAGAATATAGATTAGACCAAGTTTCTTTAGAGTGATTCACAGTTTATTGTCTCACAGTGTCCTGTATGACACTGATACTTTCAAAACACAAATTATTTTCCACAGTTTAAATGAACCTCTAGCAATACACTAGAGCACTTCAGAAATATTTTAGGTTTAAGAGTGGTCCAAATCTAACCTTTGAATTCACTGACACAGTTAAAACATCTGATCTGTAGGTCAGAGTGTGCAAAAAGCACAGCTGTTAACCATGACCTTGAAGACACTTTGCAGTTGCAGTTACCTTGCAGCAAGAAGAGTGACACATCTTTGTAACATCTTGCACTTAGTGAAATGCCATATCTTAAAGTCTGGGTTTGCATCCTGTTCCTTGTATTTATTGTGGGCATAACTACATCCTGCAAATCAGCCAAACATGTCAGTCCTCTCCTGATCATTCTGGAAGCACAGAGCAACCAAAAGACAGCAGCTTTGCAAACGCACAGGAACACCATGTAGTTTTGTCAGTAACTTTAGCATGTGCCAAATTTATGCACATGAATTTGGACACTCTTGTTGTAGAGTTTCCAGGACTAGAGCAATTGCTTTGGTGTTGACAGTTAAAAGCTTCTATGTAAGTAGATGCCTGGTGCCATACTCTGACAGTAGTTAGACATTCTAGTGATAATAGTTTGCCAGGCTAGTGAAAAAAAGCCAAATCCAATTAAAATGTATCATCAGATAAATGTGAGTTTTGGCAGCAGGACAGAATTATTCACTTTAGACTTCACTCAGGACACAAAGTAAACATATCGCTTCATAAGAAACTTGACCTGTTACCAGCAACATACACTAAGCTGTACATCTAACGAGTTAGGTCCACCACCAGCACATCAGGAGATGCTAATTCTACAGAGAATTACCTACACAAATCATATGTGATTTCCCCCAGTACTAAGTGTTCCCTGATAAATGCCCAAGCACTAGGCTAACCCAGTGGAGAGCTGTTTGTTCAAGCTCAGTGTAAGGTGTAAGAGCTGGTGCAATTTGCCTGCTGTATGGAAAAGGTCAGCTCCTATAAAATCATGGACAGAGCTCCCAGGCAGCTGGAACAATCTCTCTAAAGAACTGGATGCTGGCAGGGATAGTAGAAAGGGAGAGAAGAGCGTATGGTTTTACTGTTTTTGAGAAGTGAGTTTATGGATTAATTTAAAGAGAATGTATTCTATGAAGAGGGATTTATAAAGCAAATGCAGCAAGTCCAGGTTTTTCACTGAAACGTGATTGCTTTCTAACTTCATGAATAGCAAATAGGGAAAAACCATGGATACACATTAATTATAAACACACTAAAATGAATGTGAAAACTTTAACAGCACTGAAGCCCACCATACATCACAACTGAAGCCTACAATTCTTTCAAACAGCCTTGTCAGCCAGCTTTGAATTTCCCAAAACCCCTGGAAGGTAACTACAGGCTTGTGAGTAGATTAGAAAATGATACTGCTCCCAGAAAAGAGAAACACCAAAACAAAATAAAAATCAAACCCCCGCATTTATTTATTGGCTGTAACACAAGACCTTCAAGCCAGGAGAGGGCTTAAGAAGTAGAGCATTGCAAACTTCAGTTTATCAGTACAGACACAAGACATCTGTCTAACTAAAGGCATTATATAGAGGTCTGTGTCTGACAGAGCTGATGACAACCAGGTTGAACAATAATATGAAGGGTCAAGGCACCCCCTTTGCAGTATGAGCTGCTGAAGTAGAGTGTTCATAAATGCAGGGTTTACTTCGTAAAGAAACTGTCTGTTAAAGAAGAGGACACAGGATATACCCAATTTATCTTGTTCCAGAACTTTATCACATGTAAATCTGCATAGTCTGTGTATAACATTTTGTACAGTGAAAAAAGATCAGTATAAAAATACTGCTCTCTCATTCTTTATCCATACTATGAGAAAAGCACAGTTTATTATAACAGGAAATAATACTTTATTATAAAATCTGCATGTAAACAAGTAACAAATTAATTGAATAACGGTTAATGGAAGTGCAAATTAACTTCATAAAATGATATCTGTTCTGTATTTAACTATATATATATATATATATATATATAATTTGTTTTCTCCCACGCTAGTGTGGTTCTACTCCCCCCTCCCACATTTAAGTTTAAAAAGATTTATCATTGTTTGCTTTATACTAAAAAGAGTGTACGAGCCTGCGTACAAGTTAAGTTTTGCTCTGCAAATGAGACATGTCTATGGTGATACTTATCATCATCCTTTCTTATCTTTGCATCTCTAGTATCCACAGGACAAGAGGATATATAACATATGTACACAGTGAAAATGTGGGCATGTCAAGCCCCTTATGTAAAGTTAGTTCATTTACTTGCACACATTGAAACTTAAACCATTTATCAATGAAGCAGACATTGTAGTTTAACTTCCGGACTTGCTTGCGCACCTTAAGGCATTAACGAGAGTCCCAATTAATAAGTCATTCTTGTTATCACCATGAGGATCATCTATACACTTCTATAACAGTCAAATGCTTGTTCACCACCCACGTGCAACATCTGGCCTTGCTGAAAGCTTCTAAAGCACAGATAAGTCATGGCACGACTTTGATTTTGCTTTGAAAGCCATCTTCTTATTGTTCTTTGCCACAATTCTCCCAAGGAATCGCTTTGCCTTTTTGCCTATGCTTTCTCTTCTTTTTGTGTTGGCCATTCTCCTAGCATTGTCTTCTTTACTGTCTTTACGAAGTCTAATTTGCCGAACAATACCTTCAAACAGGTCCTTGACGTTATGGTGAAGAGCAGCTGAGGTCTCGATGAATTTGCAGTCAAACACAACGGCACAGGCCCGTCCCTCTGGATGGAAAAAGAAAAGAAAGAAGATGAGTGGAGACGAACATTTTCTCTTCATACATACTGACACGGAAAAAAAACCCAAAAAGACTAAGTAAGAAAAGGGCCTTCAGTGCCACAAGAGCTTTACTACCATGGTAAGAAAGTCCAGACTTGCACTTGTGGTTTTGCCCCCTTACTCTCCTTGGTTTTGGTGTGGTATGGTCAGAAATCTCATTTGACCAGTGTTAATGAATATAAGGCAACAACGGTCCTCTAGGCAGACCATCTCAGTATTGTTTAAGAGCTAAAGCTGATATAGGACAGGCACTTGGATACATGCTCGCTGTTTGACAGGAAACAGTGTGAGGTACAAAAAGCAATGTTTTTTATTTCTTCTGGGAGTTGAGCAATTATGCATGTCTGCCTTGCTGTAACAAGTGAGAGTCTTCCATGCTATCTACAAATGAAGCTGGTAAGAGTCCACAAGGTCAAGCCATTGAATAGATCACTAGAGGTCACGAGGTGTACACCACTGGATTTGACTAGGACTGCATTGAGAATGCAGGATGTTCAATGTTGCAGACATTGGCATGTAACTCTGGATTGCTGCAGTGTTCAACTTGTGGTAAATAATGGCAAAGTTGTAAACCTGAGCAAAGTACTGATGTCATGACTAGGACAGGTCAACCATGCACCACCACCAGCCTGAAAGAAGTTATAATCTCCTGATGAACTCCAGGCAATTCCCTGGACAGGCATTTAACACAGGGAACGTGGCAAAACCAGACAGACAGCAAGAGATGGTTCATCATCATCAAGTCACCAATATTTCAGAATATTCTTCCCAGTGAAAAAGAAACAAACCAAAAAACAAAACCACCAAATGTTTAAGTAAGTGAAATTAATACTGTGGTGTTGGCAGTGGTTACTGTGCTCTAGTTACCAAAATGCTGTCTGGAACTTGCTGAGAAAATTCTCACTGATCACAACTGGAGAACATCTACAAAAAGCCTTTAAGCTGTGCAAGCCTGGTCCCACCAGCTCAACTCAGATGTGATGGGATCACTTCCACTTCCAGAAGAAAGAAGATTTTATAGACTGTTTGGGATCACTCTTTTCAAAGGCTGCCTGGGTTCTATGACATGGCATTCCTGTCCCTTCAAAAGCATAGCTCAAGCTATCAGATCTTGAGACTAGCAAGTGCTGCTGCACACACAACATAATTAAATCCTTTCAGTTAATACCAAAAATGAATCCCACACAAAACAGTACACAAAAGCTCAGCTCTGATGCATTTTTAACTCTTGTACTGCCATTCAGAGCATTTCTCTGTGCAGTCACAAATCTTCCCCCAACACCATCTCCACTGTTTTCTGTGGTACTAAGTCCCTCAGCATGAACCAGCTGGCTTAATTTCTCTGGTGTGCCTCACGTCATACATTTTTTACATCAAAACCAGACTACTTCTATGGTCCATGATCATCCACAACATTTTCTACTACTTTAGACATTACTGTATCAATGAATAGTGTCTCTTACCATCAACTGAGACTTCCCGGGACCTGACCAGGTCGGTTTTATTGCCCACAAGAATAATAGGAATGTCTTCTGTTTGCCTTGCTCTTCTTAGCTGGATTCTTAGCTCAGAGGCCTTTTCAAAACTAACTTTGTCTGTCACTGAGTATACAATAATATACGCATCTCCCATTTTCATACAGTGGTTCTGAAGCCATTGGCTGTCATCCTAAAACAAAAGGCAAGAAATAGATTTATTGCACTGAAAAATCTATTCAGGACTGATTAATGATGTAATTACTGTAAGCACCTTACAGATATTTTTCTTAGCTTTATAATAAAGAGTCAGTAAAAGTAAGCCAGCCTCCTTTTATTTTTTTTAAGATGTTGTTATTTAAACTGTATTACAAAACAAAATTATCTTGTCCCAGAAATAATATCAGGTTTGCACTGATCAGATTGTGAATCTCTAATTTTACATTAATTCCCTGGGCTGCTCATGTAAGCTGCTGCTTATTCAAAGCATTAAGGGATTCGCACTCCAGCCCTATTCAGGTTTTTAAATTGCCTGCCTAGCTACAAGAAATTAATTGCAGGAGAGAACAAAGGTAGTATGAATTCTAATTTTTTAATGTCACTTTTTTAACGCTATTGATCTGATCGGAGAAGTAGGCATACATAGTTCTTCCATTTCTACTTTGTGTTTTAGAGTAAACCACTGCCCGAGCCATAAAGAAAAAAATATCTTAAATCTGTAAGTACCTGCTCCCATATATCAAACACCACAAGAGATGCTTCTTCTCCGTCAACTATAATTGACCTGTCGTATGTATTTCCTACGGGGGAAAAAAAGAAGTTGTTACTCTTCTCCATCCCCGCCGGCAGCCTGGGAGGGGGTGGCCCCAGGGGGACGCCCGGGAAGCTGCGGCCGGCGGCGTTCGCTCCGCGCGGCGGGTCCCCGGGGCCGGGGGTGCGCCCCGCTCCGCCGGGGGTGCCCCGCGCCCTCACCGGCTTCTTCCGCGTCCGCGCAGTCCTCCACGCCGCCGAAGATGCGGGCCAGGCTGGTCTTGCCGACGCCGTGCTCGCCCAGCAGGATCACCTTGTAGAGGCTGCTGTCGGAGTCGCTGCCCGAGGAGATGACGGAGTCGGAGGAGTCGGAGGCCCAGCTCTCCCGGTGCGCCTCGCCGGGGCTGTACGAAGTGCAGCGCACCAGGCCGGACAGGTCGCCCTGCGGCAGGG